TCAGTCAGTCAGTCAGTCAGTCAGTCAGTCAGTCAGTCAGTCAGTCAGTCAGTGAGCGAGTGAGTGAGTGAGTGAGTGACTAAAGAAGTAAAGAAGCATATAACGTAAATAAGCAAGCAAGGAAGTAAGAAAGAGATAGAAAGAGTACTTAAAGGTCGTTACGTTGGCGCAGAGAGCCCAAGGAACATAAGAGTACCTAGCTACTTAGGCCACCATATGACGAAGCTCACTAGTGCTCTTCTTTTCATTGCCGACAAACCCATGTTTTTGCACCTGAAGCGGTACTGAGAGTGACCAACAATGAACTACAAACAAACGAATCCTGCTCTTCGGATCAATCTTCCAAGGGGCTTGAGTAGTCGAAGATCAAAGCCAGCTCGATGCTGTGCTGGAGGAAGGCCGTAAACTGATTGCATCATGCCCCCTGCATCCCGGTGTCAGTGCCAGTTGTAATCTAAGGGACCATGCTCACAATGCACTCTCTTAGATTAAGCTTCAAACAGCTTCATCAGACTTGGGAGCCTGCGAAAGTTGCGGCAGTGTCACCCCACTGTGGCTGGACCTGGTGCTTATCTGAGTTTCTCACAAGTCTTGATCTATAACTTGATGTTTCTCGTATTTGTCTCGCACCACAGAGGGGTGCACAGCCGCAATAGCCAAAAAAGCACCAAGTCCCCCAATCTCCCCCTCCCCTAAACGCACGTTTTCTGCCAATTCTCCCACGGTCCAGTGGTCGCCTTTCAGTAGATCACTAGACCATTGTGAGATGAACTGTGCCCCCATTTCCTTCGATGGTCGCCCACCCAACACAACCATCACGCAATGCTCTGCCCTTCAGACGACGGAGGCCGGTTGTTGGATCAACCTTCTCCCAAACTAAAACTTCCAGTAGCTCACCTTCCTGCCAGGGAGCTGGCAAGACCCAAACAGTTCAAAAGTCTTCGCAACTTGGGCCAATAGTCATATTTTAAGTAGTAATGCATGGGGGAAAGACGGAGAAAACACAATTCTGATATGTCCTTTCCCTATGAACAAATTATCGATGCTTACATGATTGACATGTTTGTTTGATTGCCCCATAATCCATAATCCACTTGCCTTGCCTTGAGCTGTCGAATGGTGCTACAGGCTTTCACAGACAGGAGGTCTGTCAATGTGGTGGTGCTCTTCACTTGAAAGTGAACGCGTTTCTGCTCAACAAAGACTACACCGTTGCTGCCAGTGGCCGTCGCCCAGCCAATAGCCCCATCTCTCATAGCACGGCACTTCACTCTCACCTTGGCTTGACTGTGGTTACGCACAAACAAACTTATAACTTATGGATGATTGATCTTGGCCCAGTCACCACTTTGTTAATCTCCTTGATGGGCCCCTCAATCAACTCCAAGATCTCATTCACATCAAGCTTTCTTACAAGCTTCCCTTGTGCCACCCCCATTGTCTGCACCAAATCTACGCTGGGTCGGGAGACCCTGTAAAACACGACCACAGAGCGCATGAATTCATCACGTTCCAGACGGCCCACACGTGCGTCGTCCAAATAGTCCTTGGCTCTATGACTACGCAATAAGACGCATTTGAACCTTCATTATCTTACAGGTCTTACACGTGATTTATTGTCTGTCCCTCGATCATCCCTCATAACGATCATCGCAACTAAGAAAGAAAAACATCTACTGGAGCAGCCCACAAGAACACCCCCAGGAAATCATCTCAGCCTGGAGTTCTGGCTGTATTGCACTCCGTGGTCCACTGAAAGAAGTAAAAAGACTTCAAAGTTCTGAGAGTCGAAGAGCTTGTGAAGCTGATCTTTAGAGAAGTTTCCCGGACAGTCGTTCACAAAGTTCTGAAACTCGCTCCGCGAGACGAAGCCATCCTGATCGACATCAGCCATTGCAAAAGCATCTTGATCCTGGCTTGGTGATCGCATGTGATCGTCATTTCTTGGATGATCTGGTACGTAACGAAACATATGTCGCGTGTGTTGAATATCACTCTGTACTCATGCATAACCTGAAAGCCAAAATGTGTCCATGTGATTTCATGTGTGCCCATTGAGTCCCATGTTTAGAAAAGGATCAGTGGCTATGAGCGCACTCTTTTCATCTCTTTTCAATTTCCTCCTTTTTCCGTCCTCCTTCTTCTTGGCCAGGCGAGATAAGATTGCCTGTGCCACCTCGGTCCGGACTGGCTCCATGAGCTGCGCGTGCTTGTTCGAAGCAGTCGCCCGCAGACGGGAGGCTTTGGTGGTTGCATCCGTGATGCGTTTCCTCATGAGACAAACGAAGACATGTGAGACAAGGTAGCAGGTAATAAAGCAGAATAAGGTAGTTTTTGAGACAAAAAGCATAAGAAAACCTCTTCCGAACCCTGATGCCTCAGCTTTTGAGACTGTTCAGGATCTGCCCCACCAGCACCTGGCGGTCCAGAAAGAACCAGCATAACACCGAAAAACAGTCGGTGTTTATGCACGTTGTTGAAAAGCCTAGGAACACAAAGGTCACCCAAGAGTGAGCATAGTCGCAAAGTTCAATGTTCAAGGGTTCTTAGGAAAGAGGTTCACCAAGAAAGGTCCTATTAGTCAAAAACTGATGGCCTTCTCGGGCTGCCTCGAGATCTTGCTCCAGCGCTGTCAGGCTGTGGATGACTTCACGGGTACTTTCTTTGGCTTCGGCGGGTTCCAAACTGCTGGCCATGTCTGCCAAGCTCTTCCTTACATGGTAGCTTTGGACTCACGACAGAAAGATGTCCTTTTGCAGGGGCATGTTTGCTACCACTATCAACGGACAGTCCCACCAAAGGATCGAGTTATATAAACAAATGACTGAAATGCTTGGCCTGGCTAGCACTTTGGCATTATTTGACATATTTTTGGTGCAAATTCATCTGTAAAGGTGCAGTCTTGGTAACGCGAGTATACAGTACTCAGGTATCGACAAAGCTCAAACAACCCAAGGGCAGCAGCGAAGCAACACATATTCAACTTGCGATAGCCAACATGGGAAGGATATCCAACAGGAGAAGAGTCGCTGCAATTCCTCAAAGAGTCGCAGGCCATTTGTGCCATTCTTTAAGATGGGCCGGGGTGGTAGGCGGTGAGGAAGCTTAAGTAAGCAAATGGATGGAGAGATCAAGTGGTTTATCTTCACTTGCAGATGTTGTCTTTTTGCTAAGAAGCTCAGAGAGTAGACCACACAACGCCTGTACCTGAATGGGGTGCAATATCTCAATAGCCAACTCAGAGGTTCATGTCATTTCATGTCCTTCAAATTAGAGTGTGTCAGTGTTGCAAGTACAAACTGAACACAGGTCAACTGCCAACGTCCAAACAAATCAGGCTTCAGCTGCTCTTCCAGCATCTCTAGACTTTTGGCCACCCGCGCAAGCTGCTCCCCAGCCGCCATGGCGGGCGGGTAGCACTCAGCAAGCAAGAGGGAAATGCAACAACATGCAACAACATGCGACAACTGCACAAAATGCACTCTGCGAAGTTTGATTCAGCTCTTTCTTGGTTTCAGTTTGTCTTCGGGGTTGGATATAGCAATTGTGCCATGACTGATTTCTATGGATGTGAAGCTGTGCTGGATTCTGCTCACTTTTGACTCTCCTTTAGCAACACGGACACCTTGAAAAGACACAAGCATTATTCGACGGGGTGAACAGGTGGTGAACAGGTGGTGAATTGTGTGAGCAGGCTCGATGATGTACTTAAAACCCCGCTCCCGCTTCCCCACTCAGGACCACTCTGAGAAAGGGAGAGACACAGAGCTCTACAAAAGATCCAGCCATGACTATCTTGCATCATTAAGGTCCTGCATTTCCTGAGCCCAAAGAGCCAAGTAAGGTGAGACTGCAGCTGTGGTGCCTGATCTGATTTGGCAGCGCTTGCAGCAGCACTCACCTCGGCTTGAGAAATAAATCTTTACTGTAGATAGACCTTATTGTAGATAGACTGACTGGAACTGCGAATCGGACTGGGAGCGCTAAAAGTGTCAACTCGTTGCCTCTCGGGTTGCATTTGCCAAAACGTATTGTTTTGTGTCACAAAAGATATGAGCTTCTCCGGCCTTGTACTGTACCATGGCATCTAAAAGGTCAAACCCGATTTGGATAAGCTTTAGATGCTATGCATACAGTACTTTATCGTATATATTATATACCTACTTGAAGTAGCAACACGAGGTCCATCCTTTTTAAGTTGCAACACAAACAAGATTGCCTGTTCCGATTGCTTTCATCATTGTCAATACCTCACATAACGTTAACCCTGTATCTGCTTGGCCGATTGCTCTCCTTTCTCTTGAGCTTTGAGCTTCAGCCAACTTCAGCGATCATCAATCACAACGCTTTGAGTCCAGTCACACTGCCACAATGTGTTGTATAATAAATGTCTGAATATGTGCCACTAGACCAGCCAAAGAAGCGACCGCAACAGCCTCGTTGAGGATCAAGACTGCCTTTCGGCTGTCTGCGTGGTCAGCACGCAGGCGGTGGAAGTCGGTCTTGACCTGCGTGCAAACCCTTCAGCACGCAAAGCCGTGTTTCCTTGTCCAATCTACTGATAGCAGCAGCAGCAGCAGCAGAATCAAACGGAAAGCCCTTCAAATGGCAAGATTTGAAAGTCCAAGGATCTCTTGGACCAGCACATGGTCTGTTCGGGCTGCTGCGGATTTGGTGCACAGTGAATGCAACTCACTGACTGAAGCTTTGGCAGTCAACAGGACCACGGTCACCGCAGTCAGCATCTTTGAGATGTTCGCTGGACAACTCAGTCACACTGAGACTGTTCTCCTTTGAGATGATTGCGCACGTGATGCACAAGATTCAAGACGCAAAGGATTCAGCCACATCTGTCCAGTCTGCAACCTAGAAAGAAATGCTACGGCTCCCAGGTTTGGAATTTCCGGCCTTTAGCCAGAATTGAGGGATTGGCGCTGTTCAGATAAAAATAGCATCTTCAAACACTTGTGGGACAACAAAGGACGGGAGTGTCCTCCGTCCCACACAGCCCTTCATGGCTTTGCTTCGTCAGTTTTCTGGAAGGTCAATCGGATCTCCATCTGTGCGAGTCAAGGTGAAGCAAAGTGTAGCAAAAGTGACACAATCACTTAGTGGCCATTAGTGGCCATTATCAATGGTCATGCATCAAAGCCAACAAGCCAATCCTGGATGTCCTGTCGCCGGTTGGGCCCCTCCTGGAGTCATGTGTGCTGCACGTAAGACTTGTCGGGGTCATCTGCCAGTCTTGTCGGACTCCCGAGAGAGTGTGTAGCAATCATGGCCATCAAAAACTTGTCAATATGTTCGTTCTCTAAGCCAGCTCTCCGCGCGTGAAGCCTAACACTTCTCAGCAAAGGTAAAGCTTCTCGGCAAAGGTAAATCAATTTATCTCAATGTACATTGACTAAAGTTGGTAAATCGGAACTAGAATCGCTTAGTCAGTGCTTTTTCCGGCAAATTGCGCAACTGGTAAATTGGTAAATGTGCCTGACCGGTTTACGGCTTTAGCGTTTTACTGTTTTGCAAAAAAGAAGCCTTCACACACTTTCGGATTCGCACACTTTGGCTGGAAGATACTATCGCACACCAGGGAAAGCTGAAGCTTTGGTGTGTTGTCACCTATCGCACTACACGGGAAGATGTAGTGAGGGATGAACAAGAATACCAATTCACCGTTTTACCGCTTTACTCAGCGGGGTTGTCTCCTCGGCATTTGTACCACCTTACTGTATTGATTTACCGTGCACCTTTGCAAAGGTAACTAATGGTAACTCCATAATCTTAACCCAAAAGGTCCAAAAGGCAAGCCAGTACAGTTTGTTCTCGAGACCTGCGTAAAGTTGTGCTTGTTGCCTGGAAGCAATTGTTCAGCTATTCAGGGTGTCGCATCACCAGTGACAAAGGATCAGCAACTGTTCCTGCAGAGTGTGCCTTTGTGCTTCTGTGCGTTTGTTAGCTAAAGTCCTCTCGCATTCCAAGTAGCTCCACCTCGCAAGATTGAAGATTCAATCACATGTGGAAACCAATCATGTGTAACTGTACAATCAATTGGGATCTGTCTTCCAAAGTTTTAAGCCATTCCGAGTGGTGGCCTGGGACGAGCAGGCAAGACCTTGCTCTGTCGCACAGCGAGCAGCCACCTGAGTGGCAGGTATTACATCGATGAATGTCATTCAGTGATCTAATGATGGCTTCCCATCAGACCGGACTTTTAAGAAACATTGTACTGTACATCATTCATGGGGGTACCGCAAGCGACCACAAGCATTGAAGCAGCTATAGTAACAACCTCTCGTCTGTTCTCATTGCATCCATTCCAGCCAATCTCAACTATTGAGATCCAACTTCCTGCTTGGCCAATTTCATACTTGTAGCTTCTTGCTACCAATAGCAATACCCTTGCTACTAGTAGCTTCTTGCTACAGTGGTTTCGATCCTCAAAGCCTGCCTCGGCAACTGAGATTGCCTTTGAGATGGCCTTGAGGCGTGCTCGGAGCAGGACCTGAGACACATTCCAGGAATCCGCCAAAAGCGAGCGGCAGCTTGGTCGTGGGACGAGCATCTCCACTACTTTGCACGAGCACTGCTTGTGTCTTTTACAATGTTTCAGTTGAGGTTGTGACGCAGTATTTCTCCCGAGAAGCTGCCTTCAAAAACAGGGAAAACTTATGAAACTTTGGAAGCCCAAAAGCACAGTGGCAACCAACATCAACTCCCAGCCTCGTCCAGCATAGCCTTGACATACTCACGGATCGGGTTGCGGCCACCAGATACGACCGTCAAGCTTGTGTCCTTCATGCGGTGCCACGGTCCAGACACATTGGAACAACTCAAGGAAAAAGCTAGTCAAGTCACATCGATTCAAAAGATTGCAAAAATGCCCATTAGCAATTGCAAATCAGACTCACTTGCACTGTACAAGATGAATTCTAGAGGCTTCTTCAGGCTCCAAAAAGGATTTGGGAGTGCGACACATTTGATACAGAAGAGAAGCACAATGCTCAGGACCAGCCAAGGATCTGAACACATTGAAACATCATGAAACAGAGTTGGCAACGTGGCAACGACAGCGCGATATATATATATATATATTAATATAGTTATTATTATTACTCATTGCCAGACACTTCAAGACATTGGGAAACATATGTTGCATCAAGAATGCCGCCATCCCTTGGTTTCTAACGGAAAGCAGGCCAGACTGGATGAACTACATCCAGTCTTGGAGGCAAATGAACGGCTTGATGGTTGGGTTGAGGAAACTGAACAGACAAATGTCCGCACTATTTGGGGCTGGCTAACATTCTTGCACAGCCCAGTTTTGCCAAGCAGACTTGAGCTGCAAAGCTAAGCCTCTGCTTGTTCTGAGTCGCTTCAATTATACCCGGTTTTGCAAAGAGAGCACCATCTTTCAAAGCGAAATGCTTTTTCGTTCAACTAGCACTCGTAGTCAAATTGTGCTGCTGCACCACTTTTCATCTCTGGCGATGAGTCAGCACACAGCTCATGTGCTCCACAGTCTTAGTGGAGCCAGCTTAACCTTCACCTGCCAAGAAATTGTGGCCAATGACTAGATTGCAACTTGGAATTGCAAAGCATTGGTGGATCTACCTATGTGGCATTTGGTGGCATTGTAAAGGAGCAAAACCTGGAGGAATCGGTTGACATGATCGAATACCGTCACCCAGCAATGCTTCCGCTTGAGTGATCTCGTCAATATGTTGATCCCAAGAATATTGCTTCACTGCTTTATTGGCAAATCTTCCAATCGTAAACGTGGTAGACATGTACGCTGCCGAGTAGTCCTCTCTGGAACCTATCATTTGATGTCTCTTACTTCTTCCCGCAAGCGGTTTTTCTAGTCCAAATTCTCAAGGAATTGTCAGCAATTCATGAGAACACACTTGCGCCTCGTTTTGGTTGACTGCACTGTCTTGGATATCTGGATGTCTTATTGAAAGCTAGTTGACAAGTATCATCAGAAAATCCATGTTGAAAAAGAATGATGAAAAAAACATCCAGGTCTTCTTTGCCTGGCCTTCTCTTCCGAGTCTAGCTCTGGCATCAAAGCAGAGAACCTGGGCAGTACACATGTTTGATTGACCAGGTCCCAACGTTGCAAGAAAATACTCTATGTAGTTGCTCCACTTAAAGGCCACAGCGATATACGATCAAAATCCTGTGGCGACATTTCCAAGGCAGCAGCTTTCCAATCACATTCTGACGGCGGTGATCATCCCACGGACTCAGTGATGTGTGAAGCAATGAAGGCCAACCCAGTTGCAGTGCCAAACGGGCTTGTCACGGCAAAGCTGTCCTCGAAACTACCAAAAGACCAAAAGCCAAAAAAATATCTACAGTGCAATCTCTCTGCATCCCTGCCCCATCTCTTTTATGTCGCTGGTTTATTATCCAGCGAAAATGGCATCTTCAAACTATATAGATGTTGACAAGTTTTATGCCATGTCTGGGAGATTGTCGGTTTTGTTTTATGCCTCGGTTGCCTATCTCCTCAAGACACCAATCTTATCTCACAGAGCTGATTGCTTGGCTTAATATTGATTAGGCCTTTAGAGGTAGGTTCCACAAACTGGAGTAAAGCAAAACAGCTGAGGATGGAACGCTTTGAGGAAAATGCGCTTGCAGCCCTTTTGCTCCTGAATCAGAATGTCCACAAAGGAGAGCTAAAGGATAAGCAAGAACTGGATATTATGTTTCTTCTTAAGATTGGCTTTGGCGCTACAACCAGCTGTTCGAACTGCACGCCTGCATTCGGATCATCGCGTCTTTAAGCATTCCAAGAGCGGATTGAGGGAAGCTCTGTGCTTTCCCGAGCAAACGCTCCACAACCTTCCACCTGCGCAAGTTCCATAAACATGTGGAATACAAATGGATACAAATGGGTACACGGCTCAGATTATCTTTCTAATACTGGAACAACAAGAATAACGAGATGAAAAAGGGAAGAAACATTTACAGTAAGGGAGCCCTTGGCTTCCCTTTGTCATCTTCTTTTTTGTGTGTCCATTGTTTACTTTTTGATGTCTTGGTAGTCACCACTTCACTGCACCCAATTTCTGAGGCCAGCGCCATTCAGACCATGACCAGCCCACACGCCACCAACCCCATCCAGCCTGACTGCAGAGGTTTCCCCTTTTTTTAAAATACTAGCAATTCTTCAGTATCAAAAAAAGCAGGTGTCATTGTCACATTCGATGCAATGTCACTGCAAGCTACTAGCCCTGGATGTTGAAAATGTACGAGACAGCAGCAGCCAGCCAATGTATATATATATATAGAGCACAGGCTCCAGACCGTCCACCGCTGTCGGAACAGCTATTGGCAATTGGGCTTTGGGAGGCTTCATAAGTGTTCTCAAAGCAGTGCTTCTGTGAATAACCACCCCGTAGGAATCTTCGTTCAGCTGGGCCCAACACGCTTAGATACGGGATGATACGGGCATCGAAGCAAGACACTTAGACGAGTTTTTCTCCGTTGTGGATGGGAG